CTGATACGATTTGCCTTTATTTCTGAATAATTTCATTTATTTATTTATGAAGGGGGTTCCTTAAAGACATGATAATATTCAAGGGGGCGATTCATTTCAAGAAAAAACTTCCCATTAATGTATGTCCTAAGAGTCTTAACTTTTGAGATACAGGGTGATGAAGTTTTGAAAAAAAAAGTTTTCTGATAATAACTGGGATAATATTGTAGACATCTTTATGAAATTTGGTACTTATCTTCTATGCATCAAGGTGCAGTTTTTGATGTATACAAATTTTCCGTTTCTCTACCAGTGGCGCCGTTAGTTATATTATACTTGAAAGTGAGCAGCTAAGGAATATTTCCGAATTTAATAAAATGCAATAAAAAGTCATTCAATTTTGTACAAAAAAGATCCTCTTGTTGATACCCGAGAGGACGCTCCGTTTTCAAGAAAAAACGAAAAAACGAAAAAACGAGATCAATCTTGAGTTCAGGACATCCATTACTGGATAACCACAGTCACAGTATGTAACATTTCGAAATTTTTGCACCGTTTCAGTCACATAGCAGAATAAATTTTGCTATCAGGAAAAGCCATACAGGGTGGATAAAAAAGAATCTATGTACAGGGTGTATCAAAAAAACCTAACACCCTTGCTAGGGTAGGTAGAAAATTGCAAAATAAGTTGGGTTTGCTCAGTAAAAAAATTTCGTAACACAATCCGTTTTCAAGATACAAGGTGTTGAAACAATATTTTTTCACACATTTTTTTACGATTGTGTTGAAACTACTGGCAACATTGTGATGAAATTTTGTATGGATGTTTCTAGGAATCTGACACATCGCATGCATTTGTTTTTATATCTGACTCTCATAGAGGGCGCTAGTTACACGGTTCGTACCGAGTAGTTTTGAACATAACTTTTTTGAGGTTAGATTTTTCAATCCAAATTTGATGTGAACTTGAACATCATTTAATTTCACACCAAGAAGGTACTCTTGGTAAAACTGTGTTCCGTTTTCGGAATATTTCGATTTGAAAATGATGAAGTGGTAACTGTTGCTGGTATGAAGCTATATGTATTAGAGTGAGTATTATGAAAAATTATCACCTATTTATGGAAAACCGAAAACATCAATACATTTCTCATGCAAAACTCATTGATTCAACAATGAATCACAAGAATAACATCGAAACAGATTTGACTAAGAACATGGATTACACAGTTTTGTTGTATCTTGAGCAGAAAGTCTATGCTACATAGGTAAATTCACGTCAATAGTTGTGAGACATAATTGAACATCACTTAAATGACCTAACAGCTGATCCTCAACTGTTCAGAAGAATAATACATTCTTTAAAAAAGAATATAGAATCGTGTATTCCTCGAAACGTTGGAAATTTTGAACACTTACTCTAACTGATTCAATATTTCATGTTTCTAGTCAAATATCTCTTAATTTTCTACTTATGATTCTTTGTTCCATCAATAACTTCAGCACAAGAATGTTTTAATTGTTTTTGAACCTGAATAAATAGGTAATTGAACTCAATAAAATTCATTTTATACCAGCATCATTACTACTCCATTATTTTCAAATCGAAATAATCCGAAAACGGAACATACTGTCGAGTTTCACCAGGAGTACCTTTTTGGTGTGAAATTGTATGATGTTCAAGTTCATATCATATTTGGATTGAAAAATCTAACCTCAAAAAAGTCATGTTCAAAACTACTCGGTACGAACCGTGTAACTAGCGGCCTCGATGGTAGTCAGATATAAAAACAAATGCGATGTGTCAGATTTTAAGAAACATCCATACAAAATTTCATCATAATGTTGCCAGTAGTTTCGAAATAATCGTGAAAAATGTTTAAAAAGATAATTTTAAGTTTAATTCTTGAAATGAGTCCAAGAATCGCCCCCTTGAATATTAGCATGTAATTAAGGAACACCCTGTATATACAGGGTACTCCAACGTTAAGTCATTGATTGTTAGTCCACCCTCTATACTCTTACCAAATGATTCATGCAGTTTTCATGAAGTTGCCATTTCCATTTTTGGACAATAAAGGCCGAGGCATATGTTTGTACCTCAGGCAGTTATTCATTAGTATTTTACATGACCCAAATATCTCGACACTTATTAATTTTTTTCTGATTCTTCGATTTTGTTCTGGATATGGTATGAGACTATTAGTTCTTTGACGGCAACAGAATATCAATGAAAAATCGTAATTATACGAAATGGTAAATCGTCTGCAGTATCGATATTCGGGTCGATTCTGTTGTAACATTGCTAAGATAATAATATTGTTATGATCAAAACATATAACAATATTGCTATGAAGTTCTGTATTCTGTTTGTTGAAAAAATGAGAATTTTTGAGCTGACAACACTGTTTTCAACTCATTTTTTAAGTATTTAGGTATAGATTTTGCCATTATTCCTTGAAGAAGAAGAGTTCATGATCATCTAACCTCTCAAATTAGTCAGTCCTGCACTGACATTTTACAAAATTATATTCGCGAAAATCACGAAGTGTGCGGCCTCTGGTGGCTAACTGTACAAGTCTTGCGAGTATGAACAACAAATATGGCGACCATTGTTTTGAATTTCATAAATATGTGTTTTATTTGAAGATAATTCATTTGTTGAAGTGCATATTCCAGAACCTCATTTCTCCCTGATGAAAAAACTCGAATTATTGCATGAACTTTTATTGTTTACAATGAAGAAACCAGTACCTACCTTATAATAATATAATATACATTTGAATTAGAATCATTGTATAAATGTTGGTTGCAATGATTCGATCTTGAGAATAACTTGAAGTCCTCAATTGCTGGAGATCCTTGTTTATGTAAATCGATGATATTGTTCATTCTGAGCAGCAACTCCAACCATATCTTCCTTCCCAACCCCTTCACTAGAATTCCATCTCCTTCATATGAGCCAGTGATATTTCTTGATGAATTCAATTATTTCTTCATACCCATACCATATTGTTGTAATAGCTGATTCTGATTGCTTGTATGGTTCCATTCCACTCCATGCAAGTGTTGAGTGGACCATTCCGATCATTCCTTATGTTTGGAAACTGTGGGATTGTAGTGTGATATCAATGATGAATACCACCATTGTCCACATCAAAATGGATATTTCTCTGCACAAAAAGTAACTTTTTCCATGTACTGGAAACCTTGTACGTATTTCAAGAAGTCAACTCATTATTCACTATTTTGCAAAATGATTTGGAAATAACCAATTTGCAATTAGTGCATACGGCAATGTTTTTGTTGTTCATACTCAGTTGGAAATTTGACGTTGATTTGACGTTAAATAGAGCCATCTATTGGTTCGTGATTTTCGCGAATTGTTCAAATTGAGAGATTTTGTATTGGCTGAATCTGGTCGTCGTTGTGTGACTGGTGCAAGTAATCAATCATGTCCCCGAAATGAGAAAACAACTAAAAGCCGGATGAAAATGATCGTGATTTTTTTTTTAATAATAGCTTGATGAACAATCAATCAAGACAGCAAAATGACCTACATGTGCCATTTTCAAGAACTAATCTTTTATATAGAGCACCTACTGTGACTGGGCAAAGGCTGTTCAATAAACTTCCGGCCGACATTAAATCATGTGTAACATTGGAAGCATTCAAGCAATGTCTTAGGAAATACCTAATAAAGGGTGGATTTTACTCCTTAGATGAATTTTTGATTTTGAAGTCTTAGTTTTAGTTCTGTTAGTAAGTTTTAGCTTTAGTAATCGTCTTTGACAAATTCTATACATGTTTCTGCATGTCACAAAGAAAATATAGTATTATTATTATTATTATTTAAATTAATAAAATCCAGTGACTACTCCTCACAGCCTGTGAGGTGAGTAATCACTGGGACCAAGTACCGTGTGCCCTGAGTAGACGCAATGATCCCAGTATGACGGCCTTCTGCATTCCACCAGCCAGGATGTGTGCCTTATCACGGCACGCTGGGATTTTCTGGATCTCCGAGAGCAGCGTGTGTCGTGTGCCTCCTAGGGAGCCGATTATCAGGATGACCAATTCCACAGAATGGTCTGGATAGAGCCGGCGGAGTTCGAAGAGAAGATCTCGATATTTAGTCCGTTTCTCCTCCTCCTTCAAAACGATGTTCGGTTCGGCTGGCGCCGAAAACTCGATCACGAACATCGCTTTGGTTTGATGGTCGAGGAGGGCTACATCAGGCTTGTTAGCTTGTATCTGCCTGAGGGTGGGGAATGAGAGGTTCCAATAAATTCGGCACCTCTCATTCTCCACAACGAACTCAATATCCCCCGGAGCATAGGGCAGCACTGGGGTCTCGTCTATTTTGTACGAGTGCCTCAAGTGATAACAGAGCACTCGCAATGCCGCATTGTGTCTATGGATATAGGCCGAGACTCTCGCCGAGACTGCATACACCGTGCAAGAAGACAGCAGGTGCATAATTGTCTCGGGCGCCCTGCGGCAGGCCCTGCAATTTGTTTCAGGGACCTCTATACCCATGACACGGATACGGTAGACGAGAGTGTTGAAAACCCCATCCTGGCATGCCATGATGAACCCCTCTGTTTCCGATTTGAGCCCGCCTGACTTAAGAAAAGTGAAATTCAGTTCTCTGGATAAGCCCCGGTCTTCAATGGTCTTGAAGTAGACCGAATGCATAGGCTTATCCATGTGAAGCTGCAGGAGCTTTCTCACTTCTGCAGCTTTGATGCGGGCTATTATTATTATTATTATTATTATTATTATTATTATTATTATTATTTATTATTATTATTATTATGATGGGCAGAGTTTTTCGTTCATGGCACAAAAATAACTATTTCGTTGCGAAATCGTAACCACGCATCTTGGTTATGCGTCATCAATTTAAGTACTTATAGATAATCCATCGACATCGCCAGTTATCATTAATTTTTTTTTCAGGCTGTCAATGATATGATATCGATCTACGATTTCCCGATTGATTTTCGATTGTTCCAAAGATGCATCTGAACGGAGATTCCATGGAATCCCCAGATGAAAATCGTAAGTAGCACCACTAATAAATTCGAGTAAATGGTTCTTAAGATATTGCTAAAATAGTATATTATACACCTAGGGTGAGAACTGAGCTATTAGATAGCAAGCACTTTAATAATATATAAATATATATTGTGCGAGCTAGATAATAGCATTCTCACCCGAGGTATATATAATATTTTTTCCACGACACCTGAGAAATCAAACCTAGGTAAATAATGATGAATTGATTTTATCTAGGTAGAAAAAAAACTTTCGATAGTGACAATAGTGTCAGTGACACTGTATGTCTTAAATATTTTTATGTTTAAATACGATAATTGAAATAATTTAAATATTGCTTTACCAATATTCTAGCCTTTTTAAGTTGTTTGTTTATAATGTTTTATTTATTTATCTACTATGAAACTTCAATAAACATTTCTTCCACCACTAGCTATTAAACATACCATTATTTACTCCTTTTCGAGGCGTAAAGTGGAAGTTAGTTTCTCTGGTAACAAAAGAGGTGCAGAAGTCTCGTATCATTCCCTAGGGAGATAATGTGACATATTTTATCCCTAGGGAGTTTATACCAACTTTACATTTTCCGCATAGCTCTGCGCTTTCATCATTATCATTATTATTATTATATTCTATAAAATTGTTGAAACTTTCCTAACGTCCTTGTAATCTTTAATCTACAGTCAAAACACCAGAGATTTTGAACAAAGCAATGAAAATAATCCTTCTTCATTATCACATTGTTATATTATTTGTCGATTATGTAAATGGTTTAGCACTCGGTCGGGTGTATTGATAAAAATCCGAGGACAGGTATCGGCAAACAAATGAAATATTCATGAATCAATTGAAAAACTATATTTAGTGATGACAAAAAGCGGATTAGACATCCATTACTTGGTGTCAGAGATTGTACGTATGTTTTGCTATAATTGAAGATAAAGTTTGATTGATTCCTCATTGTCAATAATTCAATATTTTGATAATAATCAATATATCCGAGAATATATACAGTAATTACAGTATGATGAAAATGTATGGAATAAATTCATTATTTCAGAAATGGGCGATATTTGAAAAAATTCCAAAAACACGTGAGTTTTAATTTCTGAAGCCTCATCTCATGATATTCATATGAGAGATGTTACGTCACCGGTGTTGAAATAAAGACGTAATGGACGATTTTTTCAAATACAAATGGGGGTCATGTGACACCTTGATTGAAAGGTCTACCGATCGTCTATTCAACAGTCAAAAGTTGCATAAGAAGATTGAAATTAAAATGGATTATCATGTGATTAATTGAATCTTGCAGAGGTCTGCTACTGAGAATTGATCATCGAAGGGTCGTCTAGTTAAAAGAATACGTCGATAAAAAAGTTCTGAACTCTAATTTTGTTTTTTTTTGAAAGTCGTCTTGTTTTGAAATGAATTTATTCCATACATTTGCATCATACTGTATATATTACTATCTGAAAACTGTAGTAGAATGAGGATGTCGTACCGTATAAAGGTATTTCAAAAATATACTGTGTTTCAAATATTTACATAACCAGGATCTATTCCATCATAATGACTTTTTGAAGTAGATGAAACTATGAGCGTAAATTCTTGGCCGTTCTTTTATTTTTGTTAAAGATGGGTCACGGCTCGTTTATGACGAGAAGATGACTTCAAAAATGAAAAAAGACAATCATTCTAGTCTGTCGAGTACGAACGAATGAGAATCCACATCGCAGAGCAGACAAAAGAATGAAGTGACTGACGACAGGTGTTTTTGTTTCATTATCTTCTGGGCCCTTTTGTCTCGTACCTACGGAAACATGGCCGGTCGACCGTGAATCCTATGGTATGGAAAACGGCGAACCAGACTGAAAAGAAGGAAGGCGAAATTTATCCGACTTTTCAAACTCCATTGACATAATGATTACAAACATTTTTAATTGAAACATATTCGTTGACTTGGGCATAGATTAATCCAGATCAGATGCACATTTCATCTAGGTCTGAAAATGGGGTATACAGGGTGGTCCGTTTTTTAATACGGAGAATTTAACAGCGTATAGTACTCGTTGAAATAATAAAAAAACTTCCTATGAACGTATACTTTTAAACGCTTCGTTTTTGAGACATTGGGTGTCAAAAATTAGCTTCTGGATATACAGGGTGTCCGCTAAAAGGAGGTCAATCCATCAACCACATATTCCTTGAACAAAAACAATATGAGTTTCTGAATACCAGTTTTCATTTTAGCCCATCATATTCGATATACAGGGTGTCAAAGTTGGAAATTAAAAACTGTTTTTTCTAATTACTCGCGTATTTGATAAGATATTAATCTAAAAATTGGTACATTACTTCAGCACAAAAAGTTACATCGTGTGAGGAAAACATAACAGAAAATAACTGTCAAATATTCAAAATACTGGGGGTCAAGTACACACTTACCCCCATATTTTTTTTGTACGTTCGCTAATGACTTCCTATCTATTTTCCTTCAAGTGTTCAAACATTTTTGAGTAATTTGTGTGTCTTGTAAAATTTCGATTAAATCATTTGTTTTTAAGATAATTCGAAAAGTACTGGTTATTGTTTGATGCCTATGCGGCTTACGGTAATCTCATAATGTTCACATACTCCTATTTATTTCGTCGAAATTGGAAGAGGGCGTATCTTTTTACGTACGAAAAGGTAAATATGGAAATACCGGGTGCTCAGAGCGAATGTATTAAAATAATTTTTAAAATTTTTCAATTTTTTTTTTCTGTAAAAATTATTTTAGTACATTTGCTCTGAGCACCCGGTATTTCCATATTTACTATTTCGTACGTAAAAAGATACGCCCTCTTCCAATTTCGACGAAATATATAGGAGTATGTGAACATTATGAGAATACCGTAAGCCGCGAGGCATGAAACAATAACCAGTACTTTTCGAATTATCTTAAAAACAAATAATTTTATCGGAATTTTACAAAAATCTAAAAATACTCAAAAATGATTGTACACTTGAAGAAAAATAGATAAGAAGTCATTAGCACACGAACAAGAAAAATATGGTGGTAAGTGTGTACTTGACCCCCAGTATTTTGAATATTTGACAGTTATTTTCTGTTTTGTCTTCCTCACACGATGTAACTCTTTGTGCTGAAGTAATGTACTAATTTTGAGATTAATATCTTATTAATTACGCGAGTAATTAGAAAAAAAAACAGTTTTTAATTTCCAACTTTGACACCCTGTATATCGAATATGAAGGGCTAAAATGAAAAATGGTATTCAGAAACTCATATTATTTTTGTTCAAGGAATATATGGTTAATGGATTGACCTCATTTTAGCGGACACCCTGTATTTTTTCAATCAAAAATTGGAAACGGTAGATAAATTAACGAAATTTTCCACAGATACTAAACTTTTTGACCCATATTAGATTAAATAAAAATTATTCATGAAGATTATTCATAAAAACTATTCAGTGGCGGCTGAATCTGGGGTGGCGAAAGTAATAATTATACAAATTTTTCGGGTAATTATTTTCCATTTATTTTTCAAGTTTCAATGAAAAAAGCTCGCTTGTAGGAATTTATAACATTTTTTAGTTGAATAATACTACTTGATATCAATTAATGAAGAAGGCTATGCTCAGTTGCTCACTGTTCACTGTTTTGAAGACAAATAGCAGGATATCCACTGCGGTCTATGGCCTGTTGTGACTCTTCTAATACGTAAATGATTGATTTGCAATGGTCACATGATTGGTTTGGTAAACGGCCAATGCTAACTAGATTTAATGCATTACAATGTTTCTTTCATTGGGTTTAGAGACATGCATAGGTTTGGTTTTTATTTTTCCTTCTGAAACGAAGCTATTAGATGAAAAATCTAAGAGGGCAAGAAAATTGTATTTTGAAATGCACGCCCCTGAAAATATGTAACTCATTCATGAACTGTAATAGGTCTAAAAGTGAGCTCATTGATATTTCCACAATAGATGTGAATTTCATCACAATCGGTTATAGCATTTCTGAGAAATCAATAAATAATCGATTTTATAAAGAAACTTGAACACCCTATATCTCGAAAACGAAGCGTTTAAAAGTATATGTTCATAGGGAGTTTATTCATTATTTCAACGAGTACTATACGCTGTTAAATTTTCCGTATTAAAAAACGGACCACCCTGTATATACTTAGTGCTCACATCGGCACTTTTGTAGCAATTTTCAATTCGGCTGCGCCTGGTATACTTATCCAAGGGATATGATATTCGAATATCTACTAAAGCTAACTGTTGATTATTACCACTACGTCGATGAATTGCAATCCATAATAAATCGCATACCTATAGCTTAAAAGCTTGTTTTTCGTACCTGACCGTTTTGTTAATAAACAATCAATCAACATCTGATAGGTAAATAAGGCTTATTAGTACCTATATAGCGATGTCTGACCGGTTATTCTAATGCGCTGTTAGTTTTGAGTAGAAACATCACGTTTCGCGTGGGTTTCTGTTTCTTGATGACAAGAAAACACCAAGGAAAAAACAATCAATCTTCACACTGTGCAAAATAGTTGCAGTATTTTTTGTTATGATAGTGATAGTGTTGCTCTGAGAAAATAGTCAATGGCAGTTGAGTTTGCTAATTTGGAAAGGATAGATCCATTTCATTTTCAAAATACGCGTATTTCCTCGGGAGTGTATAATTTGCGGACTGGAATAATGCAAATCGTTGTTTTTATTGCATATCGATCTGAATTCAGCTCATCGAACTACACGATAAATAGTTTTTGATTTTTTCCACTAGCCCCCCTGGGCAACACTGCTCCTGTGTTTTTTCATATTTTTGCAAGTCAAATCATGGCAGCCCTCGCATCACGGGTTTCAGAATCCCAATATATATATAATATATAGTGGGTGTTTCCTAAACATTGGTAAAATTTCGGAATGTGTTTCGAGTGGTATTTTTACGAGTATTTTTATAAAAAAGAAGTCCTTTAAAAT